GAGTTCGTTAATTTAAATAAAAGTTCGGTTCGGGTTCGGTTCGACCTTAAATATTATGGTTCGTAACATCTCTAATAAATATTAATAAATACTATTTATAATGAGTGATTAATCATTACTATCTAAAAATGATACAAGTTATAATGCAAGCTGGGGTCAGGGAAGCTAAAAAAACTTAAAGGGTTCAATAAATCTCCTTGCTAGTCAAAAATTTCACAATTTGATCCCAAAGTAACATTGTCAAGAAATAGTGTATTCCCCAAATCTCTACACATAAGGTATATCAGTTATGTTTAACTAGAAAATCATTTAATTGTAAATCAAATCTGAATTAAAATATTATTTTGATTCTAGAAACTATTCCATACGAGTAACTTCAGACAGCAATTCTTAGGTTTCATTGTTGATTTAATTTAAAATAAAATGAGAAATTTTATATTTTGTTAACTCCAATTCCAAAAACTATGGGTGTGCATAATTTCTAGTATTAATGGTTTATTAACTTACATTCATTGGCCAAAAACTTTTTTATTTCAGTATTTGTACCAAAAAATGCCAAATAATTTATCTCTTCATCTACAGAAACATTGTTGGTATACTTAGAATCGATAAATTGATCTACAGCTTTTTCTAAATGTTTTCCAATAAAAAGTTCATAACTAGATAATGGAAACTGTTGAATTTTATTTGATTGTTCTTTGYTTGAATCTGTATTTACAATAAATATACATAAATATATATTAATTCATGATACATAACACCAGAGGTTATCAAACATTATTTTTCTGTATGCTAAATGTATATTGGGGACATTCACAATCAACAATTAGTATGCGTAACAGTTTGAGAACCTCTGCATCAAACTAATTTAAAATGGAAGTTTAATAATTAATAGAATAAAAATGTCAAATAATAAATAATTCAAATTACATCTATGGCACGGTAAAAAATATAATAACCAGTGTAATCATAAGTAATATCCGTTTTCTTATTGAAGTATAAAAAAAATGTGAAATTGAGGGTA